CGTGACTACGACGGCGATGTCATCATGCAGCCCCCTGGAGGCGCAAGCAGTGCGAGTTCAGCGATATCGGCGTCTGGCGTGTCTTTCGGACACCATCCATCGCAGCCACCAATTCCAGAATTTCCAGCACTGCAGCAGCCGCCGATGCCGCCAATACCGCCACCTTCCAGTGCATCGCCATCACCGTGCACGGCAACATCGACCCCGGGATTGGGACGATCGAGGTCAGCAAGGGCCTCAAGCAGCTCAGGCAGCTCGGCACCTACATCGCCAAGCATCGTTTCCGTGACGAGCTCATCGAGTGCGATCAGCGCCAGTGGAGTCCAGTGGCACGGGTCGTCGCCCACGGTAGAGCCCAGCGACCTGCTTGATTGCATCAGCGACCGGCACGACTACGTGGTCGGCCACAACTCGCACAGCGTATACATCACCTGCAAGAGCTGCAAGAAGCACGCGTCTTGGCTGACCCGTTGCCATCGCAACAGCAACCCGGATTTCACGATCTTCCCGCCGGGCGTGATGCGTGACCTCATGGGTCGATGGCGCAAGATCACATGCCGAGAGGGCGGACGAGGATCAGATCTGACGGACAAGCCGATGAGGCCCAAGAAGGGCGACTGATCCCTGCTGCTGCCCAGACTGTCGCGTTTTTCATCACGACTTTGTTCACGTAAGTCCGCATTGCCGTTTCAGATTTCACACCTGTTGGACAGATTTACACGTAACTCCGCATTTCAGAAGCTCCAGTTCAGTGTGCACAGTTTTTGATGTGATGACGATCACACCCATTCAGATGGCTCTGTTGAGTTTTGTCGCCTAGCGATCGGACTCTAGCCATGCCTTGTCTTTGATTATAGCGCCGGCGGCGCTGAGAGCTGTGAGTACTTTGCAGGTCGCGTGTAGCGCATCCGCTTAAGTGCCTCGACGGGCTGCCTGCGATTGCAAGCCGTGTCGAGCCGTTTGCTCGCCTTCTGCCAGCGCGCCTGGCCTCCGCCTAATGAAGCTAGCGCCAGGCTTATGTGCCCGGCTGCTCACGGCGCATCGTGTGCGCCCGCCCGCTGTTTTTGAGCACCGTGCAGGAGGAGTGTGATTCCAGAAGGCTCGGGAGTCTCCTCACGTGCTCTCTGCCGCCGCCCGTTTTGGCTCTAATAATTTTAGGGCCCTTGGCTGATTGAGCTACGATCCGCTCTGCGAGCGATTCCAAACGATAGATCCGCGATCTTTCCATATCACACTTCGGAATCGAGGACCGAGGATCGAAGAAATCGTCGGACGATCTCGCGCGTTTCGGGCGGCCTGGCGGGGGCTCAAGAGGTTGCCTTCAGGGGCCCTCTTCCTCATGGAGGTGGCGGCCATTCCGGTGGTGACCCCCGTTTGGCGCGGCCTGGGGTGAGGGGGAAGGGGGAAGGGGGAGGAGGAGGAGGAGGAGGAGGAGGAGGAGGCGGAGGACCCTGACTTCGGATTCGCCTCAGAAGAGCAGGGCTGGTATTTCCTCAAAACCGTGGCGGGAACAACGACGGCGAATTTGGACGGCAATTTGCACCACAGGAGCCTTCCTCACGTAATCATTGTAAGCACGGCGGATCCGAAAAGGAAGGAGGGGAAGCAGGAACAGGAGGAGGAGGAGGAGCAGGAGGAGGAGGAGGAGCAGGAGGAGGAGGAGGAGCAGGAGGAGGAGGAGGAGGAGGAGGAGGAGGAGGAGGAGGAGGACGACGACGACTCCTTGCTTCCGGCGGAGGCGCGACGACACGATTCGCGGATGTGGCCTGCAAGCGAAGCCCCGACCGCACGGTGGGCTGCCCCGCGGGCGGCTGGCCGTCGGCAGGCACGGCGGCGTGCGCGAGCGCGCCCGTGCGTGGGGCCGAGCACACAGGGACGGCAGCTTGAACACCGCGCGCCTGTACATACGCGACTTGCGTCGACCCTGTCGCTGGGCTGCTGTAAGCCTACGTCACGGCCGCCGACGCCATGCCCGGGGTCAGCACGGGTGCGGGCCGCAGCCGCGCGAGCCCGGGACGGCGCCGCGACCGCGGCAGCCGAGGAGCGCGGGGCCAGCGCTGCGACCCTTCGCGCGGGAAGCGCTAGGCGGAGCAAGGGCGGAGGCGCAGGCCTTGCTGCACACCTGGCCCGCGGGGGCCCGCGGGGGCCCGCGGGTCCTGGCGCCTGGCGGCTGTGCGGCCGAGGGCATCCTCAGCAAACGCATCGGACGCCCCACGCCTGCCCTTCCAGAGGTTTGTAGGCGGGGGGGGCCCCATGGGCAGCCTGGTCGTCCGCCCCGCGGTGGCCCTTGTCGAAGCTCGGGGGGGGCACCTGCGAGCGGGGCTTTCCTTGCGTCCGCGGGCCTGCTTGCCCGATCTCCGCCATGGATGGGCGGGGCCCTGGTGCAATGCGAACTCCTGTTTGGCCGCGCCCGCGCATCCGACGACCGCGCGTCGGAGGCGCGCGCGATGGCTGGCCGAACGGCCGCCGAGGGCCGGGTTGATTCCGTCCCCTGTGGGGGACGAGGCCTGGGTATTCAGGGGCCGCTTCTCTTCCAGCTGGTCGCGCTGACCTCCAGCGCTGCCTCGTGGGTTCCTCCCGAGGCGGGCCAGTCAGGGCGGCGCCCGACGAACTTCGGCACGCCTAGAGTCTAGACAGCCGCCCGGACACCTGACTTAAAGGCACCCGGACACTTCACTGACAGCGATCTAGAAGTGGTTGTTCTCGCACAAGCCATCAGACAAATTCATGAAACACGACTGACTGAAAAAACTTAGACGGTTGACTCCCATCAGACTAGACGGGGGTGTTCGCGCGAAGTGTATCTTGTCTAGACGTGCCGGTCATCGACGGTCGCCGCTCGGGCTTCCGGGCAAGTGGTTCCAGGTAACTTGCGTGGCCGCGCGATTGCTCTGACGACGGGGGACCTGGGTGGCCTTTTTCCGAGGCGGTTCGGGAGTTGGCCGTGGGAGCTGCGCAGTGGAACACAAGGAAAACCGCCGAATCTGAGAGGGGGTGAACACCCCAAGTTGCACCGCAGGGCTGCGGAGCAATCTAGCAGGGATCTTTCTCACGCCGACGGCGGCGACGCGCAGTACCTCATGATCAGAATGCACGTGCTGTCTCGCTTGTCCAGGTGAAGAGGCGGCCTTCCGAAGAGTCGCACTCCTGCGGCTTGTGCAGGCGATCCCACCGCCTGGGCAGAAGTGACAATGTTTATTTCTAGAGGGATAGTCAGGGGCTGAACTGCTCTGAAACGCACGTTTTGAAACGCAGCCCGTGCCGTGTTCAAGACGTCCGCGTTCAAAACGCACGTGTTCAGTCGACGTGTTGAGCTCCGTATCAATACGTTACGTGTTGCGTGTTGCGTATCGTCGCAGGCCATGTTTCTATCCCAACCCCCCGCTTTTCAACGAAAAGTGAAGCGGCTAAGACAAGGAGGGGGAACCCTGGGATACACCCCCAGGGGGCTGTTGGGACGCACCCCCCTATCGAGAATGGACGCCCCCCTCGTGCATCCCAGGGCTGGGCCCCCAATTTGTGGCCCACTCGAGGGTGCCCCCAAAACCTAGGACAGGGGTCGATCACGTCCCCTGTCGTATCTCACCACCCACCAAACCAACCCAACCCAACCCGAAGGCTCAGACGTATACCCTCGATTTCTACTGGGAGGGGGTCCGGGAACACCGAAAAAACACAGATGGAGCCCATACCCCCCCCAACCCGAAATTCGGGCCTTCGGGTTGGGCTGGGGTGGTCTGGTAGGCAGTCCCCAGACATGCGACGTCCTGATTTTTTCAGGACGGCGTCCCTGGAAGTCCCGACCCTTTCCCCGGGACCGGCTTCTCGTCCTGAGTCGTTTTTTGACAGTCCTGGGGCCCAGCGAGGGCCTCCACAGGCCGAAAACGACGAAAAACCTCCGTCCTGATTTTTTACGACGCGAGCATGTCTGGGTCCGGGAACATCGAAAAAACACCTCTGGAGCCCATACCCCCCCCCAACCCGAAATGCGGGCCTTCGGGTCGGGCTGGGGTGGGTCTGGTTGGTCGTCAGCATCGGGGCAGCGGTGCAGGCCCCCACCACTCCGCGCTCGGCTTGGCGGGAGGAGGAGGAGGGAGGAGGGAGGAGGAGGAGGAGGAGGAGGGAGGAGGAGGAGGGGAGGAGGGAGAGGAGGACGAGGAGGAGGAGGAGAAGGAAGGAGGAGGAGGAGGAGGGAGGAGGAGGAAGACGAGGACGAGGCGCGGCCGCGGGGGCCGCGCGCGGAGGCGCGGACGAGGCGCGCGGCCGCGCTGCCGCGGGGCGCCGCGGCGCGGCGGCTGCCGGCCGCCGGCCCCCGGCGCGGCGGCCGCCGCGCCGGCGGCGCGCCGCGCACGGGAGGGACAGACACACGCAGAGGCACAGGGCACCGCTGGTTCCCCCGGAAGTTTCGGAGACTGTCTGGGAAGTGGGAGGGAAGACAGAAGCCCAGAACACATACACATACACACATACATATATATATATACACACACGGGATCCTGTTCTTTGTGTATATATCTGTGTGTGTGTGTGTATCTCTATGTGTGTGTGTGTCCCAGGGCCTCTTCGCTCCTATCCCTCTTCTCCCTCTTCTCCCCCTCTCCTTCTCCGCTCCCCGCACTCCTCGGGCGCGCGGGCGCCCATCGGCGGGGTCGGATGGCTCGCGCGCCCCGCGGCCGCGCGCCCGGCGCCTCCGTCTCACGGTTCTCTCCTGCCCCCTCCCCCCGTCTCTCTTCCCCCCCTTCCCTGGCAGAGCCGACGCTTCCCGGGCCCGCATCCGAGCAGGAGGAAAGGAGGAGGAGGAGGAGGAGGAGGAGGAGGAGGATAGTAATAAGAAGTAGAAGAAGCAGGAAGAGGGCCTTCATCATTGCGGTGGAACTACAACGCTGTCCAACAACATGGTGTGGACAAGACGGCTCTGTTGGCGGCTTTCAATTCTCGTTTCCATTCAGAGCAAGAAATCAAGTGGAGTATTTAGCAGCACGTTGGGTACCTGGCACGAGGACTATCGTGCCTTCCCTGCAGCGCAGATTCAGATTACGTCGTGGAACGGCAGAGCTCTCCTTCACCACAAGCCAGAGGTTCGGCGCAAGAAGTTCAAGAAGCTCGCTCTGATGTGCAGACGGCAGGCGATCATATGTCTGCAGGAAGTACACGGCACGTTGGAAGAGCTCAAGCATCATTGTTATCTTCATCGTATTCCTGGAGCGGTGCTGGGATCGGTACCACAGCATGACTCGGGAGGTGTAGCGATTATCATATCCCAGATGCCCCAGATGGAGGCGGAGGAGGCGATTCGCGTTGGAAGATTGAAACGTGAGATCCTGGTCCATGGCAGGGCCCACCGTGTCATGATTAAGGCGCGAGCTAACGAGCACCGAGCTGACTCCATGACCATAGTGTACAACATCCACAACTTCGGGTTGTCAAGGGAGCAGGTGGACACGATCTCAGCCAGGATCTCAGCGGAGTCTTCAGTGGCAGCCCAAAGCCCGTACAGGACGACCGTCCTTGCTGCGGGCGGCTTCAACTACACGGAGACGGCGGCGATGCACCTTCATGTCCCAGAGATTGACAAAGGTCTGGTTCACCCTCCTCGTCAAAGAGAGTACGGTGATGCATGGGCGGCTGCCTTCTCGGGGATGACAGAACTTGACCCAGAACTACCTACACACTTCATCAAAGACGAGCAACGTTTAACACAGCTGGATAGAGTATTCATAAGTACGGCACCTTGGGTACTGATTCAATGGTCGATTGCAGCAACAGTCGCTTACCCGCCAGAAGAGTTGTTCGCTGAAGGCATATCGGATCACCCTCCGGTGCAGATCAGCTTCGCTCACAGGGATTTGAAGCCAGAGGAGGACCAGCCTGTGCCTGCCTTCATATGCAAGCAGCCAGAGTTCAAGTACTTCTTAGACCTGTTGATGAGCCACTCGGACATACATAGGCTGCAGGCGATTCCCAAGTGGGCGGAGCACAAGAGATTGCTGAGGGAGGCTGCCCGTCTGACGCGTAACAAGCTCGTGAGCATGCGCGCGCCTCCGCTGGAGGCGAAGCTAGTTCTTTTTCGTTCCATTGCACGCGCAGTCCATTTCAATGATGTCAGGCTTGCTCGCGCGTTGTTGGCGTCAGGCCCCCTTCCATCTGAGTTGTTGTCGGTATCGTCGGAGCAGGTTGTGTCTCTTGTGTGGCCCATGGACTTTCGTAGGAAATGCGAAGCGCTGCAGCAGGATATATATGGGGACAGAGTTCGCAGGTCGGAGACCCAGGCGAAAGATTCACCCAGCTGGGCCGAGAAGAAGCGCCTGCGTGCTTACGCGCGGGCGGAGAGGCGCAGGGGGAAACTGTGGGCTCCGAAGGGCAAGATTATTCCTCTCCAGGGCCTTCTCGCTCCTGACGGTTCGGTGGTTACCTCCCCCTCGGCCATGGTCGCGTCTCTTCGGAACCATTGGGGCCCCGTCTTTGCGCCCCGCCCTGTCTCGCGACGCCATCTCAATGCCTATCTTGACAAGCATGTGAAGCGGTTTGATTTTTCGGATGTGGCCCCACTAACAGTTTATTCGATTGCCAGTGTAATTAAACGGGCTACACCGACGGCCCCTGGGCCAGATGGGCTCCCTTGTGCTGCGTGGCAGCAGAGTCCGATGTCGCAGGAAGTTGTGCACGGGCTCCTGATCGAGCTGTTGAGTGGCTATCCTCCCCCCACCTCTTTGAACGACCTCCTCCTGATCTTCGCCCCCGAGGGTAGACGGGAGCAGGATGCGTCCTTCGTGCTGCGTGAGCCACAGAACACGAGACGCTTGGCGCTGAAGAGCTCAGATGTGAAAACTGTGGCCTCGGCGTGTAACGAAAGGGTGAAGAGACAGGTTGCCCAGCAGGCTCACCCTGATCAGCGCGGATTTCTAGTGAAGGGAAACTTTTGGACAATATAACATTGCTCGACACTTCTGCAAGTATAGCCAGCATGCACCCAGAAGCCAGTTCACGTCTCCCCTGTCTCCTCTTCCTCGACTTCGGTAGTGCCTTCCCCTCCCTCCTCCACTCCTTTTCTCAGGGCCGTGCTCGAGCGTTGTGGCTACCCGATAGGACTCCTGCAGCTTGCCCAAGCCACCTATGCCTTCGCGGTGTCTCGGACGGCGGTTCTAGGACAGTTGTGGGCATGCTGCACGATCATGTCTGGCGTGGTGCAAGGAGACCCTGCCTCAGGCACGTTATGGGCCCTAGCGATGGATCCTTTCCTGACGGACATGCGTTCCAGGCTTCGTAAACATCCAGGGTGCGAAATCGGAGCCTGCGCGGATGATATCGGTGCGACGGTGGCTGAGTTGGAGGCCCTTCCCAGGCTTTCAGGTGTTTTTTTGTACGCCGCGGATTTTCTAGCTGGCCTCGCCCTCAAGATCCCCGAATGTCGCCTCGCCCCCGTCTCTGAGGCCTTCTCCTCCTCCCTTCAATCGCAAGTCCAGGAGCGATTGGCCAAGCTAGTTCCGCGATGGCGCTCGATCCCGATTGTAGATGCTGCTGAATACTTAGGCGCATGGTCTGGTCCTGCTGCCGCGAAACATGTGTGGGCGAGGGCGTTTCGGGAGTGGGTGGGGGTTGTCAGGAGTATCGCAGAGACCATGGCGCCACCGTCGGTAGCTCTGTACATGTGCAATTCGCGTGCTGTTTCGAAATTCAGTTATTTGGCGCAGCTGAGCCCGCTGCCTAGAGCCATAGCGGAGTGGGAGTCTTGGGCATCGCATAAGATATTGCATCTCCCGCCGTTTTCGATACCGCTGGATCAATTGTTTGCATTGCGTCATTGGTCGAAGTTGAGGCCTCTGTCCCTGCAGGCCCAGTCGGTGGCCGCTTTGATTCGAACTGCCAGGTGCACGGTCACGAACTGGAGACCGCTTTGGTCCAGGCTCCAGAAAGTCGCTGAGTCGGCCCTCCCGTTGACTACGTGGTTGGCTGATGTCTGGTCGCCTGCGCACTGGCAGTCACCTCCGTGTGTCCAGGAACTGGTGAAAGCGGACCGAGGGTTTTCTGGCGTGGCCTCCCTTAGGTCGGCGGTCGCGGTGGCCCTTCGAGCTCTCGACGAGGCGCAGCGGGTGGACCCACGTGCCCCTGTGCAACGCACTCTCGCCAGATCCTTGGCCAGC